TCACACTCTCGATCACTGAATAGTTGTCGTCTTGTCGTCAATCAATGTCATGATGAAAATGAGTAATTGAATGAAGTCAATCTCATTTTTTGTTGAACCGTCGGGGCTCGTCCACTTCATGTGGGGCCGTTTCTGGTATAAAGATTTGATCAGAAAGAGTCCCTCTTTCTCCATGAAGTTGGCCAGCTGCTGGCGCCTTGGGTTCCGTTGCCATATACCGAATATCATTACCATCAGCTCACCGTTCTCTCTTGTGTCTAGTTTTGCGTTGAAGTCTCCCACACCGTGTAGTGGGCTTTAGAGCAATGCATGGTTCTAGATATATGCTCATACATCTCCTCCACCTCCTCATCGGGATATACCGAGGTTGGTGCGTGAACCTGTATGATCTGTAACGAATATCGTTTGGTGATTCTAGTTTACGCAACCCTCATCAACACTCTCACAATCTTTACAACGTTATTAACGAGAGACTTGTGGACGATAAATTCGACACATCCTTGGGACAGATTTTCGCCCTCCCGGTGATAGAACAAGTTGCCGGATTCGAGGATTACCGTGTCCTCTCCCTCTCTTCGGACCTCAGATAATTCTATTATATCCAAGCACAACTTGTCTACCTTTTCTTCCAGCTCCAAGGGACTTCTCGTAGTTCTCAGGGTGCGTGCGTTGTATGTTGCCAGGTTGAGTCGTCTTTGGTGGCAACCGAACCTCCACTAGAGATTCTTAGCACCCCTTGCCCTGCCGCGATTCTATCCGCGATATTTACAAACTAAGAATGGATATCGTTCATAAGTATATTGCCATTAGATTGAAATATCTTATGTAATAAATCAACCTTTTTTAAGGTGCAGTAATATAATGAGATTTTTGTGTTTAATTAATAAACATCGTGTAACACTTAACTTATTCTAATTAATTAATCTAATTGATTAGAATAATTGATGATTACGAGCTGAAATAAAATTTTAATTTATTTCAGTTCTTTCAGCTCGTAATCGTCAATTGTTATTTCTTCTTATTAATATTCATTAATAATAATAAATTATATTTTCTTTTAAATATTATAAAGCTACCGTTGCTTACGTGACTCAATAAGAGATACCTACTCGTAATATACTCGTATATCTATACATTAATTTGTTATTTAACATGAATATAAATTTACAATTTTTTAGTTTTAGAAATAAGAGCGAAAAATTGCCAGCAAGTAACATAAAAAGAAAACGATAACAAAAGAACCTTAAGGAGAAACCATTGTCGTAGAACAAGTTACTAAGGAGTTCTAATTACTCGACTAAACTTGCGTTGCTTACGAGTCTTTAGTAGACAAGAGTGGCAGTCTTTCGAGCTGTTAATTAATTGATGAGGAAACTTTGTCCGTGTTAATTGTAATAAAAAGGAAATACGATTGTATGTATTAGTAACTTAATTCTACTTGTGAAGTTTTATACTATGGCAAGGACGGGTTATGTCAGAATCACAATAACTAAATTAACACTAAAACTAGCACCCCATGGTGTTCCACCTTTATCGCATATTTTCGGGGCCACGGAAACGCTTTCGCCTACACTCACTAACACCAGCTATCTATCTCTATCTCCTTGAGAAAGTATAACTCATCTCCCTCTTTATCTCTTGAGACAAGGTGTGATGGAACAGATGGTAGTCCTTCCTACACGGCCTCCATCACCATCTGTGTAAAGAACCCCTTCGAGTCGATACTAGGAAGCCATGGGACCAGGAATGTGTGTATTGTTTCGTTATTAGCGATAAATATATTCCGATATGAGCTAGATAAACTGTGTTATTAGCGATAAATATATTCCGATATGAGCTAGATAAACTGTGTTATTAGCGATAAATATATTCCGATATGAGCTAGATAAACTGTGTTATTAGCGATAAATACATTCCGATATGAGCTAGATAAACTGTGTTATTAGCGATAAATATATTCCGATATGAGCTAGATAAACTGTGTTATTAGCGATAAATATATTCCGATATGAGCTAGATAAACTGTGTTAATAGCGATAAATATATTCTGATATGAGCTAGATAAACTGTGTTATTAGCGATAAATATATTCCGATATGAGCTAGATAAACTGTGTTATTAGCGATAAATATATTCCGATATGAGCTAGATGAACTCTATTAGGTATGTAAAAAGAAACAAAAACAATTTGTAGATTACAACGAATACGTTTATGGTTTACAACACACATAATACTAATTTTTCACTTTTAAACGTTTTGCAAAATTTAAAAAGATAATTACTTAGAATAATTGATAATCACGAGCTGAAATAAAATTTTAATTTATTTCAGCTCGTAATCGTCAGTTGTTATTTATTTTTATTAATATTCATTAATTATAATTAAATAAAATAAAATAAAGCTACTGTTGCTTACGTGATTCAATAAGAGATACCTACTCGTAATCTATTCATATATCTATATATTATTTTGTCATTTAACATGAATATCATTTTTTTTCACATAATACAAATTTTTCACTTATAAGGATGTCGCAAAACTTAAAAAAGTTAAGTTTGTAGCGGCGCTGTCGTCGCGCCACAAGCGAAATACACCGAAACTTAAATCACGCTATCAACATTCCGAATCATAGACAGTATATATAGAACTTCTCCGAACTATCACTCGGAGTGTCGGCCGCTCCCCAGGCAGAACACCTTGCCCGGCGGGAGATCTCCCCTTTTCCTTCCACGGCCACAGTGGTGACTAACCGACGTGATCTGAACACGCAACCAAACAACCTTCGGAAACTTCAAGCTTCATCAACGTCATAGAATACCCCACCCATTCGCTCCCGAACAGATATCGTCTGCAGTCTTCATATCCTGCAAGCCATCTAGCTTCACAAGGTTCATCGCAGCACTGGAATAATAATGCTTCCTGTTCCTTCAAGCTACTCTCTGCGCCATACAGTGTTCGGGATGGCTCTGAGCCTTACTGCTCGCCTCTGCTTCACGGAACTCTCGCAGATTACTTGCCTTCTTCTCGACTCACCGCAGACTACAAGGTAATCTCCTGGCAGTGCACATTCGTTATTATGATTTTTCATCATAATTCATTACAGCCCTTAGATTGTCTCATTGAGAGAATTTCGCCATTGTTTACGCCTGGCACGCTTGGCAGGCGGGTTGGCAACCGCAGTTTATTTATTATTAGGAAGATGCTGTTGTCCATCGCCTGTTTCACTTTCCTTCTGCCATCTCTTACGACATTCACGGAATGATATAGGGTAGTGAATTCTCTTATACTGTCATTACTCTGCGTCATTATCATCATTTTATTAAAAAGAGATAAAGGTGCCTTTGCTCTAGGACCCGAATTCAATTTGCTTTGTGTACATTAATAGAGGTAATAGCAACGCTATGAGCTTGATTTTTTCACGGTTACATTGAAGTGAAAGATTCAAACAGAGACTCTGGCAATGTGCAGGCAACTAAAGAGAATATTAACAAGCTTTTTACCTTCCCTATGCATCCTTTGCTCCTGTGAACTTTTTAAATGGTGCGTTTGAAGTTTCCTTTGTGTTAAAATGCTGTACTAGAGTAAAATATCACGCTTTGCAGTGCACGTCTTTAACGATTGGTATACTTGCCATTTAAGTTATAAATTCAGTATAATCATGTTTTTTGAAGTGAAAATTTATTTGGAATCGTTGTCATTTGTAATTTAATGAAACAAAAAGAGACACTATAAACACACAAACATAATAAGAGAATGAGATAGAATACACTGTAGACTGTGAACTGAAAAGGTTGTGAGTTTGAATCCGCCATTCGACTACTGTCTTTTTTTGTCTTTAAAAATACTATTTCTAGTATTTTTTTAAACGCAGTGTTTCCTATAATCTCGGTCTACTCGTTGTGTGGTACTTTAAAGTTTAAAGATGGGTTATATAAATTTTAACAACATAAACAATGTAAGAAATTGACAAATTCTTTAAATAAATAAAATTAACCATATTGAATAAAATATCTTAATATACCTAAGTATACCAATACATTTAAAACAATCTACGTTGTCATAACTTAAGGCCATCTAGCGTCTATTTTACATACCATCATGAGAATAATTAAATTTTCGTTCGGTAAAATGACTTTACCAATAGAATAAAGTAGATGGCGCTATTACAACGTAATTTTACTCGAAAGAAAATATTAGTTTGATTTAATACATTAAAATATAACCAAAAAATAAGGATTGTATCATTTCTTTGCTATAAAATTAAACTTTTATTTTACATTTTACATCGCACTTGTGGTTGAAAATGATGATCTTAAATAAATCATTTGCCGTGAAATATTTTTATTTTATTATATTTCTTTATAAATATTTTTTTTAAATATCAAATGAAATGACGAACTTACCTACAGTGTACCTGATGACAAGTGGTTACTGATGCCCATGGACACTTGCAGCCAACTTTAAATAAAAATAGGCTACATAGGCTTTGCCGCGAAAAAAGGAAGCCCCTTGGCTTTTTACCAGAACACAGCAGAGACAGCATTGCTATATGGTGGCGGGAATAGGTATGAGGGTAGTGCCCACCCAGAGGGACTCCTAGGCAGACCATAATATAAACATCCAGTTACGTGGTTGAGATGCAGCTATATTGGTAGGAACACGAATGGGTCGGCTCGATTGGGGTCGGACTACGCTCTCAAACATTACGAGCGTAATGTTGCTGTGTTTCGTATGGTGAAAGTAGAAAACCGGAGTCTCTTTTACTAGAAACGAGGACTCTTTTTATTAGATCTTGGTCCACGGGGGTGACAACGTATCCGCATTTTGATTCTTAATCGAGGATAAACGTAGATGTCTATGGGCCACAGCATCTACTTACCATTAGGTAGACTGTGTGCTCGTTTGTCACATTTATTCTATAGTTATAAAAATTCGATTTATTTATACGATATTTCTGTTAAGTATCTCTCATTTTTTTTCTTTTATTGGGCATTCTGTGATGACAGACCGAGATATTCCATCTGGCTTCTCATTCTCATGTATGCATGACTAAGTATTGGGAAGTAAAAAATCGGAAATTAAAATTAAACGCGTTCAAATCTGTGAAATTGGTTTCATTTAGTAAGCATTTATATTTTGATTCTTAATAAAGGATCGGTTTAGGCTGCAGGGTCTACTTTACATCAGGTTGGACTATGTGTTCGTTTGTCTCCCTCTTATCTGTTTCTTTTTTATAGAAGTAAGGGAGCTGTAAGTACCTAGTGTTAATGGGTGCTGTAGTCAATACAACACGTACGAATTAACTTGAGACTCCGCTGGAATGCGACCCCCTTCCCGACTCCCCGCACCGCGTCCCGCGCTGGCCGTGCGCGCTCAGTACCGATAGCATTTTTGTTACGGATACGCGTCTCGACCCTAGTTCGATATTTTTGATAATTGTTTCTTGTTTGGTTTGGACTTTTGTTTGTTTTGACATTGCTTTTTAGCAATAAGGTCGCCTGTTATGCTTTGTATTTTTATTGTGTACGAATCTGTAACACTTTTTATAGTGCAATAAAGTGTATAATAAATAAATTAATAATATTATAAATGAGAAAGTGTGTATGTTTATTTCTTTGTCCTTCCTCTGCGATACCTAAAAATAATATTATATATATTAAAAAAATATTTAAAATATATAAAAATGGCAACAGTATATCACTTATTACTTCACCCCTTGCCAGAACATTTTATTTTGTTTTTATTAATAATCTCATGCAAATCTCAAAAATTTCAAATAAAAAAATATTACCACGCATTATTTTGCACACCGTACATTGACAATTACGTCATCGGCCCAGGTCTCAAGTTAATTCGTACGAGTTATAGAGACCGATTATACTCTCAATTAAGCATATTTCGAAGCAAATACGATGTCACCCTTAAGGATTAAAGTGGAATGCATTGTAACTAATGATGTTTGCACTTTGGTTCTTGTCACTCAGCATACAAAACACAACAGCGTTATACTGCTATTTAAAGCTGGTATCCTGTGCAAGTACGGTCCTTGTCGCTCGAACGAACCAATTGGTCACGGTAATATTATCTAATTGGTGTTACAGCTGCACACATGATATTCCGCAGCGTCGTTTTTACCAAGTTAATATTAAGTTGTATAAAAAGACCACATAGCACACGAAACGGTACGCTTCAATAAGTGTACGGACACAAGTGCATTTGATAAACGATGGAAAATCCGACGCAAAGGCTACGCATTTCACTCTAGTACTTTTTAACAAAACATTTATACATTAAAATTATTTTCTATTACAAAACCCAACGGTTCATGCATATACATGTAGTGTAGCCATAAAGTGGTAAGTAAATTTTTTTTGAAGTCAGTCACTAATTAGTACCTACATGTATCAGGAAGTCAAAGATTTGCTAGTTGCTAGTAGCACAAAAGATTGACGTTAATACTAGCTTTGAATAGCGTTAATATTAGCAAGTATGAAAACACCGTTGTTCACATTTCACACGTTTCTTTCCTTTATCAGCATTTTCACGTTTGCAAATGATAAAATGATTCGTTTTTATGTTACCTACCTATGCTAAAAATAAATTGTAAAAAAGAACATGATTTATTTTAAAAAGTTTTATTTTTTTGATTATAATGTTTTTTATATTTGCGAATAACATTGAACACAATCTGTAAAAGAGCTGTGGAAGAGTGTGATCTTCTGACACAGGTGTCATTACACTTACAAAAATGATTACAGAGTATTTACTTCAACCATGTTTTGAGTGAATTAATCAAGTAAATTATTAATTAACATTTTGATATTATTTTATTATGTACATTATAACTATATTATAGGTGGTAGAGCTGCGCTGCAGCTTTGTCAATAAAATGTCCTAGCATGAATGGCGGGTTCGACTGGGGAAGGACCATGCACTCACAGCCAGCGTCAAATAGCAGTTAATTGTTGCTGATTTGTATGGTGAGTGTAGAGAACCGGAGACTCTTTTTTCTGGTAACGAGAGATTCGATTTTAGTCCGGGCTGACAACAAAAGAGCACACAGACCACCTGATGGTAAGTGGATGCTGTATCCAATAGACATCTACATCTAACTTAGCGTTGTCAATTCTGACGACTTAAATAAAATGTCTATTATTATCAATAAATATGGTGTCGGGTTCTCAATGCCTGATAAATAATAATTTAAATTTGCAAGTTGTCCGTTTATGTAGAATTCATGTTTTTGGAGAATACTTTAGCATATCATTACGCTCTTAAATGCAACATTGATTGAAGAGTAAGGTGTATTATTATCTCAATGTCGTCTAAATAGTTACATTAAAAACTTCGCCGCCTAGTTAGCTAGCCCTTAGAGGTGATTGTTTTTTTATGGGACCGCCCTGAAGTATTTGTTACTTAATAATTAAAAAAAAAGAATTATCAAAATCGGTTCAGTTGACGAAGATATCAAAACATATAACAGAATTAAAAATACAGTAGAATTTTAATAATTCTCCTTTTCATAAACATCCCTCTATTTAATACATACAAAATACAACATATATGTTTTTTGTTAATGTTTATTCGGTTATATATATGTGTATATATATATTTATGTATATAAATATAAATATTTATATATATACTTCGAATGTCTTCGAAATATTTTGTTACTCATACATGTAGGTTTCCTTACGAAGTTTTTCTTTCACCGTCGAGCACGTAATAATTCAGAATTTGAAATAATTGCAATTGTTAAATTCATAAGTGCCGGCGGGATCGAACCTGGGTTGCTTGCGTACCGTGAAGTTTATGCCCCTGATTGAAAATGGTATTATGATAAATATGAGAAATTATGATATCACTAGCTATTGTCTGCGTCCGCGTGGCATTTATTACGGTTGAATTTTATGAGTTTTGATTTTTTCGAGCGGAACGCTAATTGATTTTTTAAAATAAAAGTAGCCTAAGTTACTTCTTATGACATCAGTTATCTGCCAGTGAAAGTCTATCAAAATCGATTCAGCCTTTTCGGAGATTAGCCGGAACATACATACAGACAGACAGACCGACATAAAAAATTAAAATAGTCTTTTTGATATAAGTATCGTATACTCTTTCAGACAGACATTTCAATTTTATTTATTTGTATACATTACAAACATTACAAAATATAAAAATGGTGGTTGTCCTTACAAAAAAAATAATAATATGTATATTACACTTAAACAAAACATTATTAATTTGTGACAAAATATTAGCTAAGTCAGGCGGTTATAACAATAAATAATTTTTCATATCTTAGTGATTTCAGAAAACGTTATTATCAGAATAAAATGCAATGATCCTTGTTGTTGTTGTTCTCGATTTTTACTGATTGTTGCGTAATTGCTTTTAATTATTGTAAAGTGAGCAAATACGGGTTTTTAAATTAACACGTAGGTGATTAAAACTTAAGTAGTAGTGGTGTATGGTTGCTGTAACAACAGTGTGAAATTGTGCAGCCTCCCGCAGGGTGCGGAGTGTAAAGCGACGGCTTCATTACGAGGTATTACGGTGACTTTGAAACGAATAAAAAGGCAGAATGTTTGATAAGCTCGTGGGATTCATATCGTTCTTTTTCATTCATGTAGTCTGTTATGATTGACACATTAAACGTGAGTTTTATTAAAAGTTCTACATATTATGATGCGTTGGGGTGAATATGTAAGAGTGCTCATGTATATTTCTTTTCCTGCCACATATGGAGTTCGTGCGGACTCCAACTTGGGGTGTCCGATCTATGCCTTTTATCAGGTGTGGATATATGCCGCTTATGAGGACGTGGATTGGATTTTTTTTTCGAAATTTCATGTTAATTAATTTTAACTACTTATTTTTGAACAATCATTAGCCATTGCTTCACTACTGTCACACTTGATGGTAAGTGGTGATATAGTCGAAGATGCATAAGCGCACTGACCGAGCTTAACAAAAGCTTATTCACTCTTGTCTTTAAATACCCACATTGTAATCGCATGGAAAAGCAGATGCTGGCAAATTATTCCACTCCTTTGCTATACGCCTTACACAAAACAAACAGTTTGGTTTGAATACGGGCTTCGTCAACAATAAAGGGACTGGCCAAGCGTCTGTTGAAACTGTCTGTATTTAGTGATTATTTACACGCTTGACCAGAACTTCTTGTTGGAACTGGATTTATTCCCACTGAACCTAGCACTCGGCTGACTCTTCAACTGTTCTCTCATCTGTGTAACAAAAGATGCCAGGCATAAGCAGCAGGAAGAGAGTTTCAGAGAGAACAGACTTCTGAGGAACTTCCTTACTGAGCCCTCAACAACGACTCAGAGAGACCGTTATATTAAAAAAGTACTTTACTTGTAGTTCTTTTGTTTGAATTTCGTTACAGGTGGTCTATAGGTAGAAGTATCAGCCTACTATTAGATGAAATATTACTTTAGTTATTTTAATCTATAACTAATTTTATAAAATCCTCTTTGTCAATACAAATTACTATAGCATAGAGTAAATTTAAAATATTGATTTCTAAGCTTTATAAAATAGGGTGAAGAAGCAATAGCCAACTTTCTTCAAAAGTGACTCTAAGGACTCATAGAGATTTTTTACTTGGTAGAGCCATGCAGCTTAATGCTGCTGTGTTTTGTATGGTGAGTGTAGAGAACGGAGACTCATTTTACTGGAAACAAGGCATTCCATCTTTTTCCTCAGGGGTGACAACGTAATCGAGGATAGATGTAGATGTCTATGGGCCACGGCATTCACTTATCATCAGGTGGACTGTGTGCTCGTTTGTCACCACTATTCTATATAAAAATTAGAGCGATGCTTACCTGCAACCCCAGTGGTAATGGAACTGATAGTTTTTCAAAACTTAAAAAACCACAGTTTGTGTGGATACGGGCCCGCTACCGATTTTGGACATAAATCACCTCGTGAAATTGACTATAGATTTATATCTACATTTTTTTAATTCTACGCCTTGACTGTCTCGTTTGTCTAGTGGTTGTAGTAGTGCGACTGCTGATCATGAGGTTCTGGGTTCGTATCCCAGGCCTGGCCAAAAAATTAATTATTGAGTTTTCCGTCTAGAAATTTTCAGTAGTTGCTCGGATTCAGGAAGTTGGCGGTGCTATAATCCTGTCCTGCGCCGATGGCTAGCCTCCGTTGAAGCTGGCTGCCGTGGCCGAAATTCGGTCTGGAGGACATTATTATTATTATGTTGTTTACTTTCATATCTCGGCTTTTACCGGTTTACTAATAGCACGGGCCTAAGCCAAGTGTATATTAGTGCTGGATTTGGTATTATCCTGTGAACTACCTTCAGTTACTTGTGTGTTACAGGTACACCTGGAAGGGAAGGTCCTAAAGGACAACAAGAATATCCAGGAGTACCTGGAAAACCAGGAGTTATTGATTTATCAGGGCAAAAGCGTGAACCAGGTATGCAAGGGCCTGATGGGCCTAAAGGATTTCCGGGTGCACGTGGACGTCCCGGTCCTATAGGTATTACTGGAATAGATGGTATGCCGGGAGAAAAAGGAGACAAGGGCGAAGTTGGTTATCCAGGCTTACCAGGGTTACCTGGCTTAAACGGTCCAATTGGTCCTGTTGGCGCTCCTGGGCTTAAAGGAGACCAAGGTTTTGAAGGTCCCCCTGGACCACCAGGCAGAATGGGTCTACCAGGCGATAAAGGTGATAGAGGTTTTTCTGGTGCTCCTGGGCCTAAAGGAGAACCTGGCTTAGCTTCAGATAAAGGTCAAAAAGGTTGTGAGGCAATTTGTCTAAGTATGGGTGTGGTTTGTTCTTCACTTTGCAAAAACTTCCTTACTATTCTGCATGTATTTAGTATTACAGCTTTCTGTAACAGTTTGTATGTGTTGGGTGGTAAATTTAAAGTTTTTATAGATTGGTGCAATCGCTTCGGTATTACACCGGTTGTCGATAGTACAATGGGCACTATAATTACTTTTTGAAGATGCCAGAGTCGAGTTATTTCATCTTTAAGTTCTGCATATTTAGAGAGCTTTTCGGCTACTGTAGCTTATAGATTGTGCGTATTAGGGACTGCTATTTCTATAAGGTATCCGGTTTGGTTAATCAATGAAATATCTGGTCTGTTACAGTGAATGGTTCGGTCTGTGAAGATAGCGCGGTCAAAGTATATCATCATTTTGGGGTTTTCTAATACGCTTTCTGGGTTGTATTTATAATAGGGTTCAATGGTGTTTATTAGGTTATGTTGGTGGGCTAGTTTTTGGTGAATAATATTTGCAACTTGATCATGTCTGTGCTTGTAATCTGTTTGGGCTATTGCTTTACACGCACCTGTGATGTGTTGAATAGTTTCTGGACAATTGTTGCATTTTCTGCACGTATCAGAAGTTAAGGTTTTTATAATATGCTTTTGGTAGTTCCTGGTCTCTATTACTTGATCCTGTATAGCAATCATAAAGCCTTCAGTCTCTGGGAAAAGTTCGCCATGAATCAGCTATGCGTTCGATGCTTCTTTGTCGACATTATTTTGGCCTATATCATGTCGATGTCTTTCATGTAGAGACTTATCAGCCCACTCGGTGATTTTTGTTTTGTCGTCGGTCAGTTTTTCAGAGTTTTGTGTAGTGTTTTCTTTTAAGTTCCAGGGTGTTAATTTATTATCATTTTGTACTATAACCTTGTAGAGTGTGGAAGATTCTGATTTGTTGAAAAAGTATCGTCTGAGGGTCGTAATTATTATTATTCTACGCTTGTCGCGGTCCCGCTATCGCTGCGGGAGTGGGTGTTAATCACTCCATGAGCTTCCATCATTGACCTTCCGTTGAAAACGACACCGTTGAGTAAAGGCAAGTGCTAAAAAATTAACAACTTCATAATTGAGTCAACTTCACTAATCGAGTTTCACTTCTAAAGTAGGTGAGTAGGAGAATGGATAGCTTTGGTAAAAGAAAAAATACGAAGAGACCAAGACATTATGTCATGTCTGCAGTTAGCGTTATATTTACTTTCTTATCAACCAAATACATACAAAAACAAATAAATATAATCAATCACTCAGGAGCACAAACATAAACAGTATTGAAAGGCGTGCAACTCCTCGCACAAAAAAGACAAGTTCAACAATTTCGCTGAAGTGGGCTTATATTCTGTAATTAAAAGCAAGTAGTCAAGTACTGAGTACGGACTTTTTTCTAATACATCTCACTAAGGGTATAATGAGTAATGCAATTCTTCTCACAAAAAATACGCAGCAAGTTTTTGCTACAAATGTTTACTTGACGCCTTTGAACTCTTGCCACTTGAACTCGTTTCACACTAATTGACATGTTTGTCGCTGTGCCACAAGTTGCGAGCGTTCTAGTTTCGAACTGCATCCTATTTAACTAATCAACGTGTTGTATTTGTAAGCCGCTATACAGACAATTTTGTATCAACACTGATGCAGGTGTATAGTCTTTTAACCGACTTCAAAAAGGAGGAAGTAGAAGATCAATTCCACTGCATGTTTTTTATGTGATTTGATGATTCTTTTTTTTATTTGAAAGCTGATGGGTGCTTCTCGTGTGGTATCGTATAAATTTGATAAAGATCTGACAAGTATTTTTTTGAGTTATTCTTAATAATGCGTATTTAATTGACTTTGAATACATTGATGATGTTCTCATTTCGTTTACATTGAAGTCGGTTGTACAATTTTTTTATATTTTGCTTGTTTAAATATATAGTATGTTTAATTTTAAAGCACGCTTCAAGATTGTGTAAATTTAGTCAGTGACACCTCTGACATATGAACGTGGCCGGCTTCACTCGTTCACTGGGGGTGTGTGAACCGAAGCTTGTTATCATGCAAAACTTGCCTGACGTATTGAAGCTCGTGGGTCAGATGTTTCTGTCACAGATTACCCGTCCTCTCTGAAATAAAGATTTACCCACGGTAGTTAACTGTGAAGGATGGTGGTGAAAATCACCGTTCAAATATCTATCATGGGTCTTTTTTCTATACACAGTGTGGCTCAAGGTGTTATCAGGATTTCGAATTACTAACACATCTAGAAAAGCTAAAGATTTGTTTGCCTTTAACTCCATTTTGAACTGAATTTTAGAATTTATGGAGTTAAGATGTTTTAAAAATGCAGTTACTTTATCTAAAGGTAGAATTGTGAAAGTGTCTTCTATGCTGCTACTGCTACTGCTTGTAGGATCTTGTATTTACGGGAGAAATAAGCAGGGCTTTTCTTACGTGGTAGAGCCACGCTGCAGCTATATTATGGTTGTAGCACGAATGGGTCGGCTTGACCGGGGAAGGACCACGCTCTCACAGAATACCAGCGTAAAATAGCAGCTTAATACTGCTGTGTTTCGTATGGTGAGTGTAGAGCTCCGAAGACCCTTTTTTACCGGAAACGAGTCATTCCATCAAAGTCCTCATGGGTGATAACGCATCTGTGTTTTGATTCTTAATCGAGAATAAATGTAGATGTCTATGGGCCACAGCATCCACTTGAAATTAGGTGGTCTGTGTGCTCGTTTGTCACCCTTATTTTATAAAAAATGGCTTTCTCCTTAAATTCTTCCATGATTATGTCAGCGACAATGGGAGATACAGATGAGCTCATTTTCACAACAATTACTTGCTTGTAGAACTCCTCCTTCCACAATGGGTAGCCAGATGTGAGGCAGTGTCTGAGTAATACTGCATATTCTATAGGCATTTTGTTGTCTTCCAGGCTTCTAATTACAATTGAGATCAAGTCTTCAATAGGTAGGTATAGGTTGCGCCACGAAAGATGAAATTAAATGGAAGTGCGCAGAAGCGAAATATAGGTATCGGCGCGGTGAGGTGTGAGGTACGGGGAAGCGAAACCATAGCAACGGGCGACTCGCTACTCCTACGTCGTTTCTCCCTGCGTCCCGTCGCCCGCGCACCTTCTTGTGTCGTCTTGTGTACTATCGATATCGAAAGTGTTAGCGACTACCTGTTATAAAATTTTAAATTTTTGCGATTATTTTTGTAATTTTAAAAATATTGTATTATAATAGTTTCAAATAGTGTGCAAATATTTATTACCTTATAAATTGTTTTGGGACTATTTAGAAGCGTAATTCGTAGTATATTGTATAAAGTTGTAAATATTTTGTTATTTTCTACAAGAGTTTTTGCAAATTATTGCATGTAAAATATCCTTATAATCGAAGGCTATCGCATAGTATAGTTTAAACAGCAATTACAAATACAAAAATACAAATACAAAATATTTTATTTCTTTAACTAAGTGTACATAAAATGCAGAATATTATTTAGAAGCAGTTAAAACCTAATGATGATATATAAATATATCGTTCCGTTTTCGTGGAGACTGATGTGTAGTTATAATGTTGACCTTTGACTTTTTACATATTAAAATGCCATAATAAAATTTTAATTTTTCTGCTTGATTGTACATGCGCAGTGGACTCTATTTAATTTCATCTTTGGTGGCGCGACCTGTGAACAGTGACTACACATCAAAACTGACGAACCTTTGTGTGTGCTCTTGTATGTATGTTCCCTGAGCGGTAAGAGTATTTTCGCTAAGTGTTGAGCCAATCTGTAAGTTAGTGAATCAATTTTGCTCACTATGAGACGTAGTGGAACATTGGGCTTGTGTATTTTTGATAACCCATACAAATTAGGTGGTTTTGCACACGTTTTTGTATTATCGATTTTACGTCCAGATTTAATTTTTCGGAGTGTTTCTTTATAAGATCACTAGTTGGTTTTTAGCTACTATTTTACGCTGCGCTGATATTCTATGAATTCTGTGAGAGTGTGATCCAGCCTAGGTCGGGCCGACCCATTCGTGCTACAACTATAATATAGCTGCAACGTGGATCTACCACGTACAAATGTAACTAAAAATAAAAACTGTAATGGCGTAAGATAAATCATAACACGATATCATAAGTGTGGTGACGGTCAAGCGAATCCATCTTCCCATTTTCCGTCTCCCAATAGCAGAAAAGCTGAAATACATGTGGTACCTATACAGTTTAATATTTAAAATGTTTATAGTTAAGAGGATAGTGAAGTGAAAGTAGGCATTTTAAAAATGCTATCTGTTTCATACCTCTCCCTCCGTAGCGCCGTATCGTGCGATAGAGAGTTGCAAGTCCTCAAAGTAGGTCTACATTAGGGAAATAACGTTTCCCACTCCCTCTTCCTCTAAACCTAAACGAAATGAGACAATTTTGTTGTCATTAGATTAATTACACCTTAATCTACTTCTTTAAGTAAATATAGTAGCATGGGCAGGGGATAAAATTTTTATCCCCCGATTATATCTACTGACAAGGGATAAAATTGTCTTATGCCTACGCCAAAGCTTTATCCACCCTGCGCCTATGGCCTATGGTGGATATAATATCGACAGTAGATAAACTTATCCCCGCGCATAGATAATATACCATAAATATATAAACTATAAAGAAGGGCATCAAGCAAGGAAACAAAGCGCAACGCCACGAAACTGTGACGCTCCCGCAGTTAAAAATTCGAAAAGTGGTAAATAATTATCCGAACTTATTGTACTTAGTGTCAAAATTTGCGTATTTAACGAGACGCATCTAGTGGTGTAATTTTTTTAGCCGCAAAACAATTTTTAGTGATTTTTTAAGTGAAAAACCGTTTTTTTTTTCATATTACCAACAGTAAATCGCTTGCGGCGTTCGATTAGTCGCCACAACTTGCACAACCTTTTTAGTGATTTTGTGCGCCACCTGGGGACACATAATCCTCCAAAAATTTCACATTTTTGGATAAAGGACACCTGAGTTATTAGAGGAAAAACGAAAACCACGTGGTTGGTGGTTTCGCAAACCAGGAGTCTGCGGCTGGAATTAAAGGTGTTACTTGCGGCATCTCGGAAAGCTCTTTCCGAAAATATATGCATCATCAGCCGGAAGTGTATATCCTCGGAATAACCACACTTTTGCAGCTGGTGTCCCACGTCTTGTAAGTTTGTACTCTAATAACTTTTATTTTTGAGTAACGACCCCCCCCCCTTCATTTTTTTTATATATAGAGGACAAACTCATGCCCTTACTGTGGGTGAAATTTCAAACTTTTGGGTAAGCAGTTTTTAATAGTGATTTTTTTTTGTAAAAGGTATCCCTTTTCGCCATTCCGTGATAAGTTTGTTTTACGTGTAGTGGCTAGCTAAACTAAGCACTAGCTCAAAAAAATAATGAAATTGTCGTTCACTTTAATAGTTAGGAATACCATTTGTTATAACATCTCTGCACGTTGTTATTTTTACATATTAGATTTAGTATAGCTATAAGGTCCACTTTCTTATTATCCTATTTTAATTTTGCAGTCTTCTTTCCATGTTACAAATTTTACTTGTCAACGCTAATTTAGTTGTAATTTCCCATAGATATAAGAAAGAAGTGAAGTGTAATATCCACTTTATATTTTTAATATTTTTAATTAATTTAGTAGACTTTATATAACTGATAAGTTCTTTTTTGTATATGCTTACCTTTTTCTCTCTCTCTCTCTCTCTAAATTATTATTTCATGCCTTTTCTTTAATAATGTACAATACATTAAATGTTACTAATACATTACAGTGGCAACTAGAGACTCCTGTAAATAATTAATGTAAAGTCTTTTACCTTTTGTTTATTATATCGCTAAACTGCTAATAATTTTTGTTAAACAATATGTCATTTATAATAATTGTTATATTTAGTTTAAGCATATTTCTGCCTTGTTTTATTTTTTATATTATTCTAATTCTTTATTTTCTTTTGTATAATATTTAAGTTATGTATACATTGCTTGTATCAAATCGCAGGTATTACTTCGCTTGTTTTGTTTATTAAAAAAATATGTGTCTAGAATTAAGCAAATTATGAAACTGGACAATACAGCCCCTGGTTGAGCGACGGGCCTAAGGTTACCGAATTCAAATTCCCCGGTCGAGCCTTAAAATAAAATACGAATGGTTTTCCGCGCAACCAGCCCCTTTGGAGGTGGTGTAACCTCTGGAGGAAATTAAAAAAAATCTTATCCTCGCAATTACTGCCATT